CACCAGTGCATGCACTGCTACATGCATGCACTGCTTAAAGACCCGGATGTGCTCTGAGAGATGCAGAATCTTACTCTTCTATTGCCAAGACAAAAATACCATAACTTAGAAACTTACAAAAGAATGGTTTTGTACTTATGGTTTCAGAGGAATAAGAATCCATCATGGCGGGGAGACATGGCAGGAAGTTCAAAGGCAGGCAGGAAGCAGAGAGTAAACAGCAAATGAGATATAAAAACTCAAAACCCACCCCCAGTGACACACTTTCTATAGTAAGGCTCCAACTCTCAAAGGACCCACAATTGTCTTAACAGCTCTACCATCTTGGTTACTTATGGAGGGCATAGCTCCTCAATATCACAATATGGCAGAAGGCACCCAGGTCATCGTGTGAACATGCACCTGCACACAGCTAGACAATACAGGCTAATTCACCCATGTTGTCTCCAATATGACAAAGAAAGAGTGAGTATCAGGTGCATGAGGCTGTTGCTGCACAACAGGGAACACTCTTGTACACTAACGTGGTTAACCAAAAGAAGTGCGTTGGAGTAAGTACAAACCAGGAATGGAGAGATTCTTTACCACCATCAAAGCCTGTATAGAATTCTGTGTGCTGCGGTTTCATGTGAATGGCAGCACAGTAGTTTTCCATACAGCAGTGCCATCCACATGTGAGCAGTACCCTGGTATATGGCGATCCCAAGGCTATGGTGTCAGCAACAGGAGTTCTTCTGCTCCATTATACTTTCATGGGTGTCAGTGACTAAGGTGTTGGGTTTTATCCCATGGCTGTTTAATCACAGGACAAGTATTCACTGGTCTTTTATTTAACAGTCACTGAAGTAGATGTTGGACAGACAGTGGAGGCCAAGTCCAGGCTATGATTTCATGAATGTGAGACTTATAATGAGGGGATGGTGATGTTTGCTTAAGACAACTCTCCTAGGTATTTAATAACAAAATGGGTAATAAATAGAAAAATATATGAAGGAGTGTATATATAAAAGTTCAGTTAAGGAACTATTAAAGCAGAGGATACATACAGCCTAAGATTGCTATCTCACATGAAGAAAAAACAAGAAATAAAATAATTCAGAGCAGGGGCTTAGCAGTCAAGTCCACTGTCCATTTCCTTCCCCCTTCTTGGCAGCAGGCAGCCCATTACAGCCATGAGGGACAGAGGGAAGGGTGTCCCTCTTGAGCCTCTTCTCACAAGTCAGTCACACGTGTGCTGTTCTAAAGGACGTGGTGAAGGGAATAGACTCCTAGCTCTGTTGAGATGTGTCCCTTCCAAAGCTGGCACCCACAGTGAAGGGTAAATCCTTTGACCTGGTGAGTGAGAAGTACCCAGGAGCATCAGAAGGAACCAGCAGGCCCTGTGTGCACAACTCTGCACTTCTCTCTTCTCCACAGTCTTCCTGCCTTCTGCGGCCTGCTGAGCTTTATGTGATGGAAAGAATCAGGGCAAAGGACACCACAGAGAGAGGGAAGATTCAGTCTCCACCCTACTGTCTGCAACAGTGACTGGAATCTGGAGTCCACCTGCAGTGTGGGCCAGCAGATAACTGCGTCCTATAAACAAATTGCTGGTACTCTCCTCTGAAAACATTTGTGAAAGGGATAGTGCGTTACAGAGTGCTCAAACCAAATTGTTCTATGAAACCATAAAAATTGGTTCAAATAAAAACTCACTTCTAGACATATTTTTTTGGGGTTCTTTCAAGACAGAGTTTCTCTGTGTAGCCTTGGCTGTCCTGGAACTTGCACTGTAGAACACCACCAGTGCCAGGCTACAGATACAATTTATCAAGTCATTTTTGAAGCTTTGTTAAAAGTCAAAGGATCAAGAATAACTCCATCCTATGCATCCGAACTAAACGTTCTGTACCTGGAGCCAGGCACCCACCTAGGCTGGAGAAATGGCTCAGCAGTGAAGAGCACTGGCTGCTGTTCCGAGGATTTGGGTTCAGTTAGCAGCACTCAGATGGTGGGTCACAACCATCTCTCCCTCCAGTTCCAGGGCATCTGACATCCTCTTCTGGCCCAGAAGCACTAGGCATTCATGTGGCACACATAGATGAATGAGGCATGTTTTTACTTTTGGAATTTATCATGCATAGTTGTTGTATCATTGAGAGAAGATGGAATTAGCCCCTCCCTCTCTGTGTTATGGTGGATTGTACACAAAACATTCATCAGTGAGTTCATTGGTCAGTAATTAGGTAGTTGCTATTTTAGTCATTTTATTTTTATTATTATTTATTTATTTATTTTACATACCAACCACAGTTTCCCCTCCCTCCTCTCCTCCCATTCTAAACCCCCAGCCTCCCATCTACCCCCCTCCCCATCCACCCCTCCTCTATCTCCATTCAGAAAGGGGCAGGCCTCCCTTGGGCATGAATAAACATGGCACATCAAGTTGAGGAAGGACCGAGCTCCTCTCAAAGCATCAAGGCTGGATGAAGTAATCCCAGCACGAGGAACAGTTTCCCAAAAGCCAGCTAAGCACCAGGGACAGGTCATGATCTCGTTGCTAGGAGCCTCCTCACAAACAGACCAAGCCACACAACTGTCACACACATGCAGAGGACCTAGGTTGGTCCCATGCAGGCTCCCTAACTGTTGGTCCAGAGTCCATGAGCTCCCACAAGCTATGGTTAGCTGTCTCTGTGGGTTCCCCCCTCATGACCTTGACTCCCCTGCCTCATACAATCCCTCCTCCCTTTCTTCAGCAGGACTCCAGGAGCTCAGCCCAGTACTTGGCTGTGGACCTCTTCATCTGCTTCCATCAATTACTGGATAAAAGCTCTCTGATGAAAATTAGGGTAGTTAGTCATTTTATTATATAAAAATCCTTAGTGGATTGTTGAATGTATTTCCAAGCAATTCTGATAATATTTGTAAAAATTTACTAGAGATTATTTTTAAAGATTTATTTGTCTATTATTTAATATGTACATATGTATGTCTCTATGAGTTTATGTACATCATACACATGCAGGAGCCTGCTGAGACAGGAGAGTGTTGATACCCTGAAACTGAGTTATGGTCAGTTGTGAGATCCCTAACATGGATGCTGGGAACCAAACTCAGGTCCTCTAAAAGGGCAGCAAATGCTCTTAACTGTTGGGCCATCGTTGAAACCTGAGATTATTATTTTATCTTGTGAAAGAGTGAAAATGATTGGTATTCAGAAAGTTGCTATGGCTGATCATAAAACCATTTCTTCCCAACAATCACCAGGGATAATTTAAATCCAGACACTGAGGGTGGCCTGCTTTGTGTCGTGTGCTTATTTATTGGTCTCTGCAATGTAAACACCACGAGGCCGGACCTTTCAGTACAGGGACTGTGTTAGCCCAGTGTACCAGTTCTGCAAGTCCCACCAGGACAAACGTGGTGAGGAGTGGCTGCTGACCACCCTCCAGGTGGTGTGACAAACACCACATACATGCAGGGACAGTACAGACCCAACTTCTGCTGTCACTCTGAAGTTACAATGTGGGAGTCCTTGGAATCATTATGTAAACAAAACATCATCTGTCATAAGGCTACAGTTGGGTTTGACTTTTTGTTTTGTTACTACTTTCTGAATCTTTAACCTCAAACAAAGAAGGTAGATTGGTCAGATTCCTAACTTGCTGGCCAGGCCACAGGAGCCGTAACTGACCTCTTTTATTCGCTAATGGCATGTGTGCACATAAGACATCTGTAAAGTCAGATAGAATCTTGATGCCCCCTCTTCGCCTCCCACATGCTACATACCCTGGGGAGTTTGAAAGTCTGTTTCAAACTCATACCAAGGAAGAAGAGCAGGATGACAGGAGAGTGAACATCAGAAAGAAGAGACTAAATGAGCTTTTCTGCTGGGATGAACCGAGCCCAGCAAAAGGAGGAGGAACGAGAAACTAGTTTCAGGCAGAGAATCAGTCCGTCTCCTCCATCCATCTTCAGTTTGTAATGATGTCACCTTGTCTAGGCTGCCTGTGGTGTCCAGAACCCTCTCCCTAGAATATTTCTGCTTAAGAAGAGCAAGAGAGCTTATTTTCTGGATGGCAGCAGGCTGTGTTCCTACAAGGACAGGCTGGTGTGATGCCAGCCCTCATCTCCTACCCCTGCTGACCGAGATTTCCAACTCACACTGATGAGAGGGCTAAGAGTGATCCTCTGGGAAATACAGCCCTGAGAGCTGGGTTCATCTTTCAGTGCCTGACCTAGCTTTCCCTCACCCCACCACCACCACCTCTGCTGGCTGCTCTTCTCTGTGAGAAATGGTACTTCCTTCCTCCCTTCTATGGGTTTCCTAGTTCCTTACTCCCCAAAGCCTTAGCCCTGACCTTATGCTCCTTCCTAGGACTGAGTTAAGGAAGGAGTAGGGCCCCTCTAGTATCTTGTCCTTGTGAGACAGTTCAGTTAATATTTTTGTCACATCACAAAGAACGTAGAGACAGAGGTGCCTCCCTAAGAGCTGAGAGCGGAGTATGCTAGTGAAAATGCTACAAGTGCCTTGGAAACACACAATGTCTGGTGGGGCTGGCTGGTCAGTTTTGCAATTTTAGTTTAGACATGAAAAAGAGACTTATGGCCAGCTGGGCGGTGGTGGCACAGGCCTTTAATCCCAGCACTCGGGAAGCTGAGGCAGGTGAATCTGTGAGTTCTAGGCCAGCTTGGTTGACAGAGTAAGTTCCAAGAGAGCCAAGGCTACACAGTGAACCCCTGTCTCAAAAACTAGAGAGGGGGAGAGACAGACTGACAGACTGACTGACTGACTGACTGACTGAAGGTAAAGTGTCAGTTCCAGGTTAAAAAAATAAAACCCAACCTGAGGCAATGCCTGGGAAAACAAGTGTTGGCTACAGGAATTATTCTCCTATCCTTAGGAGCCCTGATCCTCTACTGAGATGGCCACTCCTTGACTCTCAGCATCCTCAGTTCCATCAGTATTAAAAAGTATGTACTCTGACCCAGAAGACTGAAAAGACAAAGGTGTATAGTGTGTTCACATTGCACAATTACAGGAAATGACCTGTGGATGGAGCAAGACTTCTGTTGCAGCCTTTTAGAAGAAATGACCTGCTGGGAGTTTCCCCAAGCACCATGCCAGTCTCTCTCTGCCCCTGACCCCAGCAGGGAGGCTCAGCATAAATACCAGCCTCCTCTCACTGACAGCCACAGCCACCCATCTCTGCCCATCAGACATCAGGTGAGGGACAAACCTATGCACAGATACTTAGTGTGTGCTGGGTTTCAGCAAGTGTGCTTTCCTCCCAAGGGAATTCCTCACTTCACTTCCATTCACCTGGTGTGGGATTTGTGCCGGCTGAGGGGGCACAATGCTTCTTGCTGAATCAGAGGCTCCTGGAGGGAGTGGTGATCTCTGCTCCTGCAGCTGCATCGGAGCTGCCTGCTGCCTTCATAAACAGTTCAGCAGGCAGGATGGGGTCAGAACTGAGACCTTGTGGCTCTGAGCGGGGTCCTGCTGTGAGGTCTCCAGGGGCCACTGCTAGGACACTACTGAACATCAGTAAGACAGAACAACCAGGGCGTCTGTGGATGAGACACCCGAGAGGGAGGCGCCAGACTGTGGGCGTCTCCTTCAGCCTGTCCTTTCATTTCAGCAGGATGAAGCTTCTCACTGGACTCATTTTCTGCTCCTTGGTCCTGGGAGTCAGCAGTCAAAGCTGGTTTTCATTCCTTAGCGAGGCTTACCATGGTAAGGCTGTGGGGGCAGAGAGGCACAGCCTCTAGGGGTCTCCTGAGTGTTGGGAGAATTCCTGCAGATTCTGGAGTGTTAGCACCTAGCTTTGATCTGCCTTTTGTGATTGCTAGCTCCTGTCTCTGGTACCCTCTGTTTGAAGTCTTATCTGAGAGTTTCCTAAGGGGTTTAAAGCCTATGCAAACTTGGTTTAGGACCAACCCAAAACACTGTGGTATTCCTTTACTGAGAATTTGCATTTGGCATTGTCCCTTTAGGGGGCTTAGATAAGAGGTTTTGGTAAATGGAATTGACTTACTAAGGTGTAAATTGTATAACAATAAAAGGGCCCTTTGCTAAGCTACAGTGGTTCAGTCCAGAGAGATGAATCCACCTTGCAGTTGGAAAAGGCTAAGATTCATCTTTGAGGTGCCTCTGTGTCTTCATTCCATGGACCCTCATTAACACCACCTGTTATACAACACCCGAGCATTCAGAAGAGCTGGACTCACTGTCCTGCTTGTCAGGATGGACCAGGGACTCTGGCAAGACTTCCTAAAATGCACTGCATATAGCAGGGGCAGAGCAGAAATCACAACCTAGCTGTGCTTGAGGACAATCCTGTCTGTCAGTCTGCCGGACACTTTCTAAATTCATTTGTGACCAATATAAGGTACCAATGGCATCACCTAGAGAGTTGTAATACCACCCAGGTCTGGACCAGTCATCCCCCTGCACCTAGAGACTCAAGATTGGCCTTGGGTGTAGCCTGGCATGGTGACTCTCAGTGTCTCCTCAGAGGATCAGAACCTGCAGCTACAGCTGAGATCATTGCTTCAAAGCTCCCTCAAGACAGCACAGAACCTGTGCAGTCTAGTCCAAGGGCAGAGATGACAGTGTCACTGTGGTGCACATGCTCTCTGTCAGGACAGAATTCTTAGGGATAAGAGTCAATGCTTCCTGTGTGCAGCCCCTCTCTGCCTTCTGTGTACTAAGTCACCTCAGGATGGGACTTCCTAGCTGAGGGTAGCTGCCTCCAGAAACACTGGCCCTTGCTTGGAGGTGGTGTGCTCGCAGGGCATTTTCAATGGCTGTAGAGACACTAGGTTGCACTAGTAAGGAAATGTGCTTTGAGGTCTGGTGGCAGAAGCTGACGACTCTGTAGCAAACACTTCCACGATACTGAAGCTGACACACCCTGCTATGTGTAATGACACTGTGCTGCCTCATTGGTTGCTTCCCACCCAGGTGAGGGGCAGCTCACAGCAGCACTGTGGAAGAAAGGCGAACACAGGGCAGCTGGGCCCCCCAATGGCCCTCCTGAGTTACTAGGAGACGACAGTGAGGATCAGGAGATGATCTTCCATTCACGCTCTCAGCTGCTCTGACCACAGGCTCAAGCCACGAGCTCTTTTCATCCCTTTCTTCCTCTCTAAGGCATGGGCAGAGCTTTTAGGTTCATGATCTTGCTGTCTTTCCCATCTAGGGGCTGGGGATATGTGGCGAGCCTACTCTGACATGAAGGAGGCCAACTGGAAAAACTCAGACAAATATTTCCATGCTAGAGGGAACTATGATGCAGCCCAAAGGGGACCAGGAGGAGCCTGGGCTGCTGAAGTCATCAGGTAAACATAGATTGATTGGAAGACTGGACCTGGGTAGCAAGGCTTGACACTTCTGGGGGAAGTAGTAGAAGAATTGCTCTGGAGAGGGTCATGCTAATCTCAGATCCCTCCTACTCTGGCTTATCCAGGTACTGGCTCCATCTACACCCAGTGTAGACCCTGGGTTTGGGCAGTCAGCACACAGCCATGCTATGTGAGCCTGCTCCCAAATGTAGACAGGGAATGACTCTCATCATCACCAGTGTTTCTGGTGTTCAGCTAGTGTGGGGTGACCAGTCTGGGCTGACCTCCTGCCTGGCCCTTCCTGGGTTCCTCCTAAAGCCATCCCATGCAAAGGGGGAAAACTCAGACCGTGGACTGTGGCCATGCATCTTGGTGATGGATCTCTCCCATCTCTGCTTCTCCTAGTGATGCAAGAGAGGGCTTTCAGAGTCTCATAGGCCGTGGACACGAGGACTCTATGGCTGACCAGGAAGCAAACAGATGGGGCCGCAGTGGCAAGGACCCCAATCACTACAGACCTAAAGGACTGCCTGACAAATACTGAGCATCCTCTTTATTGCTCCAGGAGGCTGTGATGTGGGCCCTGAGGACAGGGTCTGGGGTTCTTCTTTCTCATGAACACTGGAGTTGCTTGGGAACACACAATAGTTATCTCACATGAATATGGACCAAGAGTTTCAAAACTGTTATTCTTGGAGTAGTAACTACTTGCTTGAAAAGAGGGTAATAAACACTAACATGGAAGTGGAGCTGAGCCTGAGTATCTGTCATTGAAGGACATTTCTGGGTTCACACAGGGCAGACACCACTCTCACAGAATCTGGCATGATCCCTTCTCTGGGCTCCTGTGCTATGGGTATGTTGTTATTTTCAGGCCTTCCCATGTCCAGGCCCTTACTCCCTGTCAACCATGTCCAGTCACCTGTTCTCATACCACAGCCTTGTGCTCCCTGTCTCTGGGGACCAGGTACACAACCATAGGAGGACTTGCCCTGCAGCTATCACCTGATCTTGCTCACTCCTCAGCAGCACCTAGACAAATCCAGTATCGCACAACTTCTCCATCCTAAGAAATATTCCCAAGTAGTTTCCTCTCGTCTTAGGTCACTATTTCTGTGAGAAAATACTATGGCCAAAGCAACTTAGAGAAGGAACAGTTTGTTTGGCTTACACTTCCACATCACTGAAGGAAGTCAGGGCAGGAACTCAAACAGAGCCAGAACCTTGTGTCAGGAGCTGATGCAGAGGTCATGGAGAGGTGCTGCTTACTGGTTTGCACCTCATGGCTTGTTCAGCTGGCTTCCTCATAGAACCCAGGACCACCATCCCAGGGATGGCACCACCCACAATGGCTGGGCCCTCCCCCATCAATCACTAAGAAAATGCCTACAGCCAGATCTTATAGACACATTTTTAATTGAGGCTCCCTCTTCTCCAATGACCCTCTTGTGTCCAGTTGACACAAACCCAGCCAGCACACCTCTGCTTGGCTTACATTGAGTCCAGAGAAATATCACAGGGAAAACTGTGTCTGGAGATACAGACACAGCATCAACACCAAGATGCAGCCCGTTTGTGTGGCCTTTGACATCCTTGTTCTGGGGAAAAGCCACTGTCCTTCTAAGCATATTCTGGCTGTACAACCTACACACTCCTCAGGAGTCTGGGCACTTTCCTTCTTAGATAGGAATTCTGAATGCTTTTCTCGTATTGCACCTCTAAGAAATAGATGACCTGGCCTTTCCAAACTAGTGAACAGACTTCTCTGTCCACATGTTCTACTTGTCACATGCTGAGAGGTGGTGGTTGTTGAGACAGGGTCTCACAGTGTTACTCAAGCTAGTCTTGAACACAAGAGATCCTCCTGCCTCAGGCTCCCAAGTTCTGGGATTACAGGCATGTGCCAGCACACCAGACTGTTTAAAAATGTTTTATATGAGTATGGTGTGTGGGAGTGTACTGTGCTGGCTGGTCTGATGTCAATTTGACACAAGCTAGAGTCATCAGAGAGAAGGAAATCTCAATGGAGAAAATGTCTCCAAAAGGTCCTGCTGGAGGCTGTGTAACTTGGTCTTCATATGAGACTCCTAACAGTGAGAGCAGGGGCTGTCTCTGACTGTGTTGCCTGCTTTGGAATCCAGCCATAACAGAAGAGGAGGTGCCTAATCTCGCTGCAACTTGATATATCATGGCTTACTGATATCTAGGGATGCCTGCCTGCATCTGATGAGAAACAGTGGGGGAGTGGATGCGGGGCGGGGGCGTGTAGGAACTGGGAAGAGGGGAGAGAGGGGAAACTTTGATTTGATTGTAAAAACAAATTTATATATACACAGACAAAAAAAAACCCACACAAATTAAAAATATCTAGCTGTAGGGTATTTTCTTAATTAGTGGTTTATAGGAGAGGGCCCAGCCCATGCAGATGATGCCATCCATCAGCTGGTGGTGCTGGGTTCTATAAGGAAGCAGGTTGAGCAAGCCATGATGAGCAAGCCGGTAAGCAGCACCCCTCCATGGCCTCTGCATCATCTCCTGCATCCAGGTCCCTGTCTTGTTTGAGTTCCTGTCCTGACTTCCTTCAATGATGGACTATGATTATAAGTGTAAGTCAAATAAACCCTTTTCTCCCCAACTTGCTTTTGGTCATGATGTTTCATCACAGCAATGGTGACCCTATGACATGTGTATGTTCATGCTTGCAAGTGTGTGGAGGTACAGAAGACTCTTGGTTGATGTTGGCTGTTGTCCTACTTTGTTTCTCTGTTGCTGTGATTAATACTTTAACCAGTTGTGGGGGAAAGGGTTTACCAGGCTTATAGGTTACAGTCTGTCACCAAAGGAAACCGAGGCAAGAACCTAGAGGCCGTCACTGAAACAGAGACCACAGTGGAGCACTGTTTCCTGGCTCTAGTTTGTGTACAGTTGACAACAACTAACCGGCATGGGTATCTTCCTCAGTCGCTTGCACTTCTGTTTACTGAGGCAGTTCTCTCTGAAGCTGCAGCTTGCCTTCTCCTGCTGGCTCTCTGTCCTTGCTCCCTGGGCACTGGGGTTAGAGGCAGCTACCACACCTGCCCAGCTTTTATGTGGGCCCTGGGAATGCAAACTCTAGTCCTCATGCTTCTCAGACAAGTGCTACCCACTGAACCACCCTCTCCCACACGGTGCAGACTTGAATGTCTCTCATATTTATAAAGCCTTGGAAGGCTTGCTTTATTCAGCCTCACAGCTCGTCCTTTCTCTGATCTTTTGTTCTCTTTTCTTGCATTTCATGAAAATCTAGAACCCGACTTGGGGCCTCTCTGCTGTAGGAATCTGACCACGGACTTGCCTCCTCAGTACTACACTCTCCGGGAGTCAAGTCCACGGCCACACTACCCTCAAGGCCAGTGCTTTGAGCATGGTCACAGAGCCACCCTGCCACCACTGTCTCCCCAATCTCATTTATTCTGCCCCCAACTCCTTTTGTCCTAACTCTGAGACAGCGCTTATCCCCTCTCCCTCACCTCTGTTGGAACCTCCTCACAGGAACTGGAGATGTTCTGTTGGGAACTACTCTACTCTATGTTCACATTTCCTTTATTCTTTCAGTGTTTGGTTTTTCTCTAACAGGGTCTCACTATGCAGTCCTGACTGTCCTGGAACTCACTATGTAAACCAGGCTGTCCTCAAATTTACAGAGATCTGCCGCTTCTGCCTCTCAAGTGCTGAGACTAAAGGCTTGTGCCACTATGCCCAGCTCATTTATTCTTTTCAGTTGTCTTTCCTCTGAAAATATAACTTCACTCATCTCCTCCCCTGAAGAGTACTCAATTCCACTTTGAGCCCCCGTGCCCTCCTGTGATTTGTCTTCTCTGCCAGAAGAGGGCGCTGCCAAGGCAAGCCCGAAATAAGACCCCTGCTTCTGTACACTTGGCTTCTTTCCAGCTGGTGTTTCTGGGACCCCCGGTACCCCTCACCCCAGAGAGTTTTAGACTAACAAAATCCAAGTCTGCTTCCCACAGGTTCAGTGGCAGCCCAGCTAGATTGCCAAGGGATTCAGAAGTACGTATCTTACCTTTCTTTCCATGGCTGGTTCTCCCTGCCCCTCCCTGGCAGTGCCCTGTTGGGGGCAACTTCCCAGGAAGGCTGTTAAAACCCCAGCTAACTGCCTGGTCAGTTAGAAAAAAACAGCTACTCTCCTGGATTCGTCCTTTCCAAATAAATCTCTTTCTCAAAATCTTCATTCACTGATGCACAGAAGAACCTTGCTGGGACATCCCATAGTGGATTGAGCAAGGGGGAGCTGAACAGAAGATCTTTGCTGAGACATCCCTCAGTGGACAGAGCAGACTTTTCTCCTGAGCCTGAGGGGATTGTTACATTTCTGCAATTTCTTAGGCCAGAGAAGCAGAGCTCTGCTGGGAAGCCCCCTTAAGTGGGTGCTGAGCAAAGCTCAGCTGTAGCAGCTCTCCAGGAGAGGAGCAGGATTGCTATATCCTGCGAGGAGACCATCCCCATCACACCAGGTACAGTCTGACTTTCCCCAACAGTCAGGATACCCTTCTCTGCTGAAGCAGTTCCAGCTGTCACAGCTGTGCTAAACAGGACACCTTCAGGGCAGAGCTGTTGTTCTGAGCAACTCGAGGTGTCCAGGATACCTCGCCCTCCAGGGCTGAACTGTCTTCTTGTAGTTCAGCCATCAGAGCTATCCTAAGCATCTCAAGGTGTTGCCTGACTCCCAGGTAGTCAGGACACCTTTCCCAGAGTTGCAAAACTCATGTTTTGGTGCCAAAATCCGGGACCAAACCCAGACTTGTTGCAACCAATTTACTTAATTGTTGGTGCTGAAACCCAGGACCAAACCCACAGAGTTGCAAACAATTTACTTACACACAGTGCTTTTCCTGCTACCTGCAGATCAAGATGTAGAACTCTCAGCTCCTTCTCCAGCACCATGTCTGCCTGTGCACTGCCATGCTCTCCACCATGATGATAATAAACTGAACCTCTGAAACTGTAAGTTAGCACCAATTAAATGTTTTCCTTTATAATAGTTGTCAAGTTATTGGTGTCTGTTCACAGCAGTAGAAACTCTAATTAAGACAGTGCTGTCATCCCTCTTCTCGGCTCCCAGGCCTTATACCCTTTAGCTACCACCTCATTTTGTCTTTGGGAAGAGGAACCCCTGGAGTCCTGGCAATTGATACACTGGTCTCTCCACCCTTATTCCTGACTCAAAGTACAACCCTTGCACTGTGAGGTCTAAGGGACCTTTTTCCTATGGTTCAAACTCAGTCTCTAAAACCATAGAACTGAAACACTATTCCATGAGTACCCTCTGGCATTGCAGGAGAAGGGAAGCTGACTCTGCCTGGAGCTGTTTCCACTGCACACCTCACAGGCGGCTTCCTCTAGCTCACATCTTTCACTGAGGTAAGGCTAAATTGCTGTGACAACAATAACTCCAAATACTGAAGCTTATGGAACCTACAGATGCACCTCACACTTAGCAGTTTAGGGCCCATATCTCAGCCACCACGGGCTTCAGCTCTGCACTACACATTCCTTCCAAGCTGTTTTACCACACTGCAGTCTTGCACCTCAAATTATGATCTGAAGGCCAGAAACATCAGTCACCTTCAATCTTGTCAGAAGTACAAAACCTCAGGATCCCCACCAGTTCTGTTGTGACATTTAGGATCACCTCATTTGTGAGTACCATGAAAACCAGAAATGCGGGTGCCCTACTACAGAAACCATTTAGAATTTCAAGATTGAGGAAACAGAGCACTAAGTCAAGAGCAGGAGCTCTCCCAAGCAGCAGATTCTGTTACTGTGAGTGCACATGGGGCTTCCTGGGGGTATAAAGGCCAATTGAGTCCCAAGGCATTCCCAAAGCATATCCACAAGGTCACACATACCCATGAAATAGTACAGTTTACTATGAAATGTTACTCAATGGGAGGGTTGAAAATACTATGACATAGCTGGGCAGTGGTGGCGCACGCCTTTAATCCCAGCACTTGGGAGGCAGAGGCAGGCAGATCTCAGTGACCCATTTACCTGTTCTACATGGAGTGTCAGTTCTTACTCCTGGGCAGGTGGCTCTACACTCAGTTCCTAGGTGCCAGATCCCATGGTAAAGCTCTCTATCGTTTAATCCACACAATCAAAACTTAAAAGAGACAAAGTACCTCACCAAGATCATTAGTGGGGAGATACACCCAGGCTGAGCGGCCACCCTCACAGGACAAGCTCTTGTCTGCACTGTCACTCTGTAGTGGTCAGTTGTCAGATACAGACACAAAATTGAAAGCGAGACAACCACAAATCGCGTGTGTCTCGAACTTTTCAGCAACAACAGATGTGAAAACATGGCCTCACGCTCAGACTGTTCTAATGTCAATGTTTGGCTGAAGAGGATTTTATTTTCTTTGCCTTGGAAAATAAATTCACGTGACGTGGGCCAGGAATACTTGTTGGGAAATAACGATTGTGGTAACTTGCCCTAGACAGGGAGATGAGGACATGATGGCAGCCATGCCAGTTCTTGGCATCTGCTTGCCTTGAGACATGCTCTGGGCTCTATTTCAGCCACTGTGTAGTGACCAAGGCAGAAAGTGAAGGGAGAGCTCTCTCCCATTACCTCAATGCAGTCTCACATTCAGCGTCAGCCAACACACCCCAAACCCAGGTGCTGCCTTGTTTCCCTGACAACCACTTCAGTCTACCAGGGCAGGTCATATCCACGTCATGGGTAGGTACGACAGAATGTGTGCTTCTCTGGCTTGGTGTAAATGGGGGGAAAGAAAGAGGTCACTTATTCAGTATGTCTAACACCATTCCACACTGGATTTACCCAAGATGTTCCTGCAAACTTCTCAGAAATCAATCTCATGTCCACGTTCTGCTCAAACAAAACCTTCATCATTTATTACCAATACAACATAAAGTAAAGGCTCACAAATGACAATCTAGTAACATGGCTTAAATAACACCATCATTTGTTATAACTTACATTAGTGCTTGATTTTCTCTTACCATAGCTCTTTAAAAATAATTTTTAAAAGTGGGGGGGGGCACACACCTTTAATCCCAACACTTAGAAGGCAGAGAAAGGCAGGCAGATCTCGAAGGTCTAGGCCAGCCTGGTCGACCTGGTCTAGGCCAGCCTGGTCGACCTGTTCTAGCATGTTCCAGGCTAGCTAGAGTTACAAAGTAAGACCCTGTTTCCAAAAAAGAAAGGGAAAAAAAAGTGCATGACTCTTTTGGGTAATACTCTTTAAACAATGTCATTGTTCTAAGTCTTAACTCGGTAATTTCTAGATGGCCTCAGACAAGTGTAAATAGTACTGAACTCCAGTTCACAATATTATCTGTCCTCATGGAGCAAAGCGTCTGCCCCCAACAGATCTGCCACAGTAGAAAACGATTCCCTGATGCACTAACATCGCAATCACTACTGTGTACGCACTGAACACCACATGGCAGTGAGCAGTCCCATGCTCGGGCCACTGAACCATGACCAACTTCTCCCAAGAGACAACTTTGGTTGACAAACTGAGGTCATAGAGCCACAAGAGTCAAGTGCCAAGGTGGAGATGGTGGCAAGAGTAACTGCAGCAGCATGGCAGGTTCTGTTCCTGGCATGGTTTGAGGTATCCCTTTTCCTTCTGTGGCAAAGTCCTCTGAAGTTTCCGGAGCAGGATTCCACTTGGTCAAAATGATACCATGTCCTGACAGATCTCCCATTAGGCCTGCTGTGACCAGAGGAACCGGTCACACTTCTCAAGCATGGCTTGTATCAGCGCTCTGAAATTCCACAGAAGGAAACAAGCAAATTCAGTCGTCCTAGTTCATTCTTAATAGCAAAGCAAAAACTCTAAAGACTAAAGAGGACTCAAAACACTGTGATAAAAGACAAAGGCTGAAACCAGCAGAGAGCTGGGAACATCATCATTCGGGAACTGGAATGTTGCCAGGCATAGAAGAGGTCTCGGGTTCAATGCCCAGTGTTGGGAAAAAAGGAAGCGATCAACAAAATGAACAAGCAATCTGGAATGAGAGAAAGTACATGCAAATCCTACCTGGTAAGAGGCATCTAGATATTTAGAATATGGTGGAATTCCACAGCTAAATTAGCAACCTGACTCTAAAATGGCAATAGACTTAGCTATTTCTCCAAGGATGATTTCAAAGCTGGTAAGCACAAATATTCATTCAGCATCACTACCAGTTGAGAAGCTCTTCTCAAATCTAAAACCTCTGAAACCTGGAATACTTCCGTTCCCAGGTCTATTAGCTATGGGATACTCAACCTATATTGTTATCATTCTACTTTGATGAGGCATCTGGGATGCTCCAACTCAACAGAAAGTGGAACGATGGTTGTCAGGGGTATGGGAATGAAGGCCTGTTTAATAGCTCTGGCCCATCAATTCAGAGGAAAATAGACTAGAAACTGGCTGCACAGCAACCTGCACACACTGAATCACTAAATGCTCTAGACAGCAAATTTCACATGGATTTGCTTTCTTTTTTTTTCTTTTCCTTTTTTTTAAGACAGGTAGTTGCCAGGCGGTGGTGGCGCATGCCTTTAATCCCAGCACTCGAGAGGCAGAGGCAGGCGGATCTCTGAGTTCGAGGCCAGCCTGGGCTACCAAATGAGTCCCAGGAAAGGCGCAAAGCTACACAGAGAAACCTTGTTTCGGGAAAAAAAAAAAAAAAAAAGACAGGTAGTTAATGCTATACAGACCAGGCTGGCCTTGAACTGCTGATCCTCCTGTCTCAGCCACCCCAGAGCTGAGATTACAGGTGTGTGCCATCACACTTGCCTATGGTTTGTTGTTGTTGTTTTGTTTTTTTTCTACAACATCTATTTTAACACAAATAGAAAAAGAAAAACTTGAGTAAAATAAGTGTGTGTGTGTGTGTGTGTGTTTGTGTGTGTGTGTGTGTGTGTGTGTGTGTGTGTGTGTGTGTAATATTTAAGTAAATAGTTTTGCTTTGTGTTTTAAACTGGATATTGAATTCAGGGCTTCATGCATGATAAATAAATGCTCTGCCACTGAGCCACATGCCCCGCCTCTTTTCACTTTTGAGACGGGATTTCACTAAATCCCCTGTGTCTTTGAACTCATGGTTCTCCTGCCTTGGCCTACTAGGCAGCAAGCTCACAGACCTGTATCAATACCATTCTTAGAGAACTGAGGATGCATGGTAGTGGGACACTCACACTAAGCTGAAGAGTACCTTGATCATGCTGATGAGTAAAATTTTACTTTGGCCTCTTCATTTACACCATAATCAGCAGATGTGTCTCAGTCTCCTCGTGTGCTAGTGAGGGGTTGAGACTACATGATCTCTGCACTCCCATCTACCTACTGCTGAAAGTCTGTGCAAGTCTACATGTGCATCACAGACAGTGTACGGCAGCCTGGCATTACCTCTGTCTTCTCTCAGCGATCCTCAGGATGTCACAGGTTCTGGTAAACTTTGCCGACAACTCAAGGGCTAGACCACATTCCTGTAGCAGTGACCAAGCCCGATCTGGGCCCATGGCCTTAGCTAACAAGAGTGCCACATTCTCCACATTGATGGGGGCAGGCCCATCACTGAGGCTCCCATTCAGTGACTCCTGAGGAGTTGGCCTCGTGCTCTTGTTCTGTAGTAGATGTAGGAGAAGCTTCCATTCCTCCAAGGTCTCAGGGATCCACCCTGCACGCAGAAACACAGCGCATACAGGCTCCATACATGAAACGTGAGAACTGTAAGAACACTTAAGACCAAACAAAGACATTCAAGAACAGGGTCTCTTCACTTCAGCACAAACCTTCCAAACACACAGAATTAAAATCACCCTCAAGCTTCCTGGATATGCAACAAGGAACAAAACAGAATCAACCTCCACACTCCTGCAGCAATCAGGTTATAAAGGCTTACACAGATGAACAAATCACTACTTATGAATCATGTTAAGTATATGAAGGAAAATAATAAGGAACTATAGAACTGCAGGCGTGGTTCAGAGGATCTAAGAGAGGTTCTAACGTGGAAGCAACATCCAAACAAAAGCTAAAGAATGAGACAGGCAGGAGGGCACATGCATGCAGCCTGCATGGCATCTAAACTTGGAGCAGGGGCAAGCGGGGAGGGGAGAGGGCTGCATTTCTGACCCAGGAGACATGGAAGATGATGGGACACAGCAAAGAACCTGCTGAGTTCAGGGGATATCTGAAAAGCTACAGTGCATAAAGGTAAGAGTGTGCAGTGAGGATAAGACGATAGGTCAGGTCCACGGGAATACTTAACAGTATAAACTGTATATGAGTTCATACAAGGGCTTTCAGGGAGGAAGCTACATCGCTCAGCTGTTTCTAAGATTTAATTTACTGTTTGGTGTGTGCGCGCGCGCGTGTGCGCGCGCGTGCGCGCACGTGCATGTGTATATGAGAGCATGTGTGCAGGTGTCCACAGAAGCCAGAAAAGGGTGTTAAAGTCCATGGAACTAGGATTATAGGCAAGTATGATCCACCCAACATGAGGTGATGGAAACCACTCTGGCCTTCTGCAAGAACACCAAGTGTTCTTCCCTGCTCAGCCATCTTGCCAGCCCTCTTTTTCTTTTTCTTTTTTTTTTAAAGACTCATTCTAGCTGCTGAACAGAAAGAGCTTTAAAGTGGGCAAGAATGAAAGGCAGATGTGCAGTTCTGAGACTACCTATCCCAAGAGTTATCTCACTTACAACAACATGTAAAAACATGGAGTATAGTGCTTAAAACAGCAAGCAGTTGTTAAATAGAAACAAAGCCATAATATACCAAAGACAAGGCAAGGCCCCCACAATTTTAACAGTTATCTAAACTATGTAGACAACCTCTAAAATGTTCAAATTTGCTTACTGAAAAGTGAGGAGAGACTTCCAGAACACCACAATGAGGAGTTACATTTGGAATTTACATACCATTGTCCCCTTCCATCAGGCTTATGTCATTCAGATACACAATGTTGGTGAAGCCCTCCCTCCTCCTCTCCAGCTCCAGACAGAGTGTCAGATATCCAGGCCAGAAACTTAAAGGGAACAAAGTTGATAAAAAGGAGTAAGTGCAGTGGATGTGCATGAACTGCAC